GCTGAAAGCAAGCATTCAAGCCATGACAGATCGAATAGGGCAACATAGCATGATTGGGTCATAATAAGAAACTGAGCTCAAAATTCAACACAACAACTAGGAGATTGGATAGTTGCTATGAAAAATAGATAAGCTTAATTAATATGTATCAACAATATAAAGATAGCACAGATTTCTTTTATTTAATTACTAACCAATTTGAATGATACAATAAGTCCGTTATCAATAGCTGAACTGCAATCATGTATTGCAATCTGTGGCGAAGGCATACGGAAGCTGCCATTCCAATGGCCCCAAATTCAGCTTGAGGAGATGGATTTTTTGCCTTACTCTTGTGGTTAACTGCAGCTGCTGAGAGGAGGGAATGAAAGAGTGGGGCCCTCTCCTGAATCTTCACTGACAGTTTTTCCATGCTGAAGGATAACATGTCATCCTTACTCAGTTTTCTTAGGCAGCTTGGATCTTTGTTGGAACAAAGCTAGGAGCATTCTTTCTCTAGATCCTTGAACACAAGCTCAGCTCTTTCTTGATGCCATGCAGCATTGGCGATTTGCTTGTACGTTCCACGGGCAAGCAATTCGCTTAACAGTTTGAGATCTTTGGGCAATTTCCTCTCTGCATCTTTTGACAGCCATTTAACTTTTATCAGCATGTCAACTGCTTTTGTGTTCTGAACACTACTTTGAAGTAACTATATGGAAAAAAGCCTCATCAGGTCCATCACAAACTTTTTTCAAGGTTGGAGCATCGTGATCGTCGCTTAGCAGTTCTCCTGATTGTTTGACTGTGAGCAAATCTTCACTTGTACCGAGGTTTCAGGTCTGCTTCCAATTTTTCCTTTGCTCGACAAGTGACCAACGTTTTTTCAGTTTCGCAACTTGGTTTCTTTAGACGTACTCGTTTTTGATCGATCGCAAAGTCATTGAATTGTTTCCATCCCTTTGAGAGTATCACACTTTCGTTTCTCTTTTTTGATGACGTAAGAGCATAAATTACAATAAATGGATGAATCAGACATAGCCTTTTTGATCTTTTGAAATGCAAAGCAAAGCTTTGTACAAAAGTACATACAATGTACATGCGACCATATTTATTTTTAGCATTGCATGATATAATTATTATCACCACAGTGAAAGTGGCAGCTCAATTTTGCTATGAGAATTATACTACTACTAGCAGCTAGAATTTTTAAACTGAAAATGTGAACTTAAGAAAAGTATAGGGAATATGTTGTACCATGGCTAACAATCTACATTTACTCACCTGGAGCCATGATTACCAGTTGTCCTTTCAAGGCTGACAGTTCCTCTTTGAGGGATGTATTCTCTGACTCCAGTTTCTTATTTTCTGCAACGATCTTTTGTAGATTTCTCTCTACGTTGAAAGTATCAAGCGTTGATGTGTTGTAGACTTATTTAATAGCAACTGTTGTGATGTATTCTGATCATTCTCGAGGATAATGACATAGTCATCTCGCGGGGGTTGTTCAAAATATAACAAAGGCTGCTGAGCACTAGGGCTCGACTGTATTCAGCACACGTTTGAGGAATGCTTGTATCTGGGCAGCTGGCTTGTAGGGTTGGATCAGGTGCCGCTGGAAGTTGATAGCTATAGGCAGCTTGTAGAGCTGGAGATGTAGGGATTGGCAGGTTTGTTGAAGGTTCAGTATCACCAAGTGCTGCTGGAAGAAGATGAGCTGCTTGTGGTGCTGGAGTTGTAGGGATCGGTGATTTTGTTGAAGATACAGTATCACCAGGTACAGGTGGAAGTAGATAGGCAGCTTGTGGAGCTGTAGCTGTAGGGATCAGTGGTTTTGTTGAAGTTGAAGCATCACTATGTGACGCTGGAAGTAGATGGGTGGCTTGTGGAGCTGTAGTGGTAGGGATCGGTGGTTTTGTGAAAGTTACAGTAACAGCATGTGCCACTGGAAGTAGATGGGGGGCTTCTGGAGCTGTAGCAGTAGGGATTGGTGGTTTTGCTGAAGCTACAGTATCACCATGTGCTGCTGGAAGTAGATGGGCAGCTTGTGGAGCTGAAGCGGTGGGATCGGAGTTGCATGGGGTGGATTAGTTGAATTTGGAGGAAATTTGCTTCCGTACTTGCTGACAAACATGAGCTGACCCATGCTGTTGACGGCTGATTTTGCTGCAATTTCTTGTTATCACCTTTCATTAAGCTTCTTGCCTTTTTGCTTGGCTGTGGCTAACTGATTTGTACCATTTATGTCTTTTTTTCCATGTTGCCTTCACGTTTTTTTGCCTACATCTTGTTCCTTTTCTTGGTCAAGGCTTTCCTTCATTACGGCCATTGTTTTTCGTTTCCTTTTACCCAGAGAGCCACTGTTTCCATTTTCTTCTTGAACATCTTTTGATGGAAGATCTTGTAGGGAAACGTTGGAAAGGTCACTTGAGATCATATCTCCAGAACTAGTGCCCTCCTGTCGTCTCTTACTCATGGTTTTCACACAATACTCTTCAAATTGATCGAGCACTTTCTTCTCTTCTGTGTGAGAGAGCAAAATCATATTCATTATAGCTACTACTTTTGTGGTAGGCCAGCTCTCACAGTCAACAAAATCCATCAAAACAAATCGTGACCTAATAACGATTATTTTTCAAAGGGAGATCTTACTTTAGTCTGCTATTTTCACTATTTTGCCAATGTATGCTTGTTTGTTGTTATCCGGTCCTCCCCAAGTAACTTCGACTTCTTCTCCTGCTTCAAACCCACCTCTTAAAGCACACCTGCTCTTAGGAATAACTGAAAACGACTTATCTGACTTAAAATAAGCACAGACATTGGTTAGCCATAGCTGTCTTCGTCTCTATTGAGAATTAACAGGTGGAATTTTGGCCAGTTTAAACAGGAGCAGCACTGACTCTGACAACGCTAAATTTTCCTGCCTGCCATTAAAGAATTTTTTATTTCAGTCTGCCAAAACCTGTGACACCAATCAGTGGCTGTAATGCCATCACGTGTTCATGTGATTGACAATCTCGCGACCACGTCACCCACTAAAATGATGTCCTGTCAGTATTGCGTAAGAAAACCTGGGTGTTTTGGAGGTGTATGCATGTGGAAGTCTCCATCAAATTTAATGCAACTGCCTCAGTATCTAGCTTAAAGGACCTCACCGTTTGATTGCAAAAAGTTCATTTGAACTGAATATAATCCAAAAAGACGGGAAAATGCCACTGATGATCAGGATAGATTTCAAGAAGTTTCCATTCGTTTCAATTTACCACAACAAAAGGAAAGCAATTTCAAGGAGGAATTTAAAGAAGTTTCAGTCCCCCTCAAAGCCATGAAAACTGTAGGCTTTGCTTGATCATCCCCGAGTCCTTCAACTCCAAGAAAAGGTGGCAAGATGAAACAAACACCTGCTGCCTGCGAAACAGTTATCAATTTAGAAACAGAAGCTGAGGTCATCGATGAAGATTTGGAAGAAACTGTTTTCCTCGAGAATGGAACTATTGAGGAGAAAGACACTGAAATTGAAGCATCGTCGTTTCGCAATTTGCTGAATGCAGATCACTCTGTTGTGAATGAATCACCTGAAGATTATGAAAACACCGAAGCAGCTGATTGCATGTGGATGAAAGTCACGCTAATGTGTTGCTGACCAAAAACGATGATCCGAATAATGATGACGAGTGTATGTATGAGTTGGAGGAATTTGACAATAACTTAACTATCAATTCACAAACCAACGAACATTTGCAAACTTTCCCCATTCCATCAATACCAGTCCTTGAGAGTAGTCAATCCACAAACGATAATCAACCCGCTTCTGGCAAGTCTCAACTAACAATTCCTGCTATGATGACTTTGTTAGCTTTGTTTACAGTCTGGGGAAGCCATTGCACATTTACTTACACTGCTTTCTTTAGGTTTACTTCCTGATCACAACTTGCCATCTATGCTAAAGAGTTTCAAAGCTTATTTATGAAATCTGAACAGTCCAGTCAATTTTCATAACTTCTGTTCTTTTTGCTTTGCACCGAGTTTTGAGACCCAAAGGTGCCCGTAGCTACTTTCTTTATTTTCCTATTGCAGAGCAGTTGTAGATGTTTTTTAAAAGACCTAGTTTCTACACTTCCTTACAGCATTGTTTTAACAGAAAGAAAAAAGAACCTTCTAACATCGAGGACATTTATGATAGGAAACTTTACAAAGATCTCGTAAATGAAGGTATATTGAGCAGCAGAGATAACATTTCCTTCCTTTTTAACATGGATGGAGTACCAGTTTTTAAATTTTCAAAAGTTTCAGTATGGCCTTTATTTCTGGTGATCAATGAACTACCGTATGAGAAAAGGATGGCAAAAGAAAACATGACTTTTGCCGGGCTCCAGTTCGGGGACAAAAAGCCCGCTATGGCAACTTTTCTGAAACCCTTGTATGAAGAACTTCTGTTAATGGGAAGGGTATTACAGTAGAGTCTTCAGAAAGAAGCAAGTTTTTATGTAGAGCTTTTCTTCTAGCCGGGAGTTGTGACCTCCCTGCCAGGTGTTTGGTGTGTGAAAGCCTGCAGTTTAATGCAGAATATGGCTGTTGGAAATGCCTTCAACAAGGAAGAACAGAAAAAATTGGTATTCGAGGCCACACAAAAATATTTCCATATATAAGGGATAATCTGAAGGGCCCATTGAGAAATAAACAGGATACTATAAAGCACTCTTATGAAGCATTGATGAACCTTCAATCTGGCCAGAAACAATATGCAGTAAAGGGAGTAAACGGGCCATCCTGGCTTTTATTTCTAGAGAATTTTGACATTGTTGCAGGAATGGGAATAGACTATATGCACAGAGTTCTATTAGGCATTCAGAAGCTTCTTTTGAAGTTGTGGTTTGGCGACACCTATTCCAAAGAGCCCTTCAGTTTTCGGCTCTTAGTTGGAGTTTTAGATGATCTTCTAAATGACATCCTTCCAACTTTAGAAATAAGGAGAATGCTGAGGTCAGTAGCTGAATACTTAAAACACTGCAAAGCGAGGGAACTACGTTCATTTCTCTTGTTTTATGGAGCTCCCGCTTTGTATGGTATTCTTTCCGAAGACTACTTTCAGCATTACTCTCTGCTTGTAAATGCCATACATTTGTTGTTGAAAGACTCAATAAGTGAATCAGATCTCAATGAAGCTTAGAATTTGCTGTTTAGTTTTTGTTCCAGTTTTCCCGCCATTTATGCGGCGCGTTTCACTACTATGAACATTCACCAGCTGTTGCACTTAGTTGATGATGTATGCAACTTGGGACCACTTTTCACTCACAGCTGTTTTCATTTTGAGGATAAGAATGGTTTTATTTTGAAGTTTATTAATCAGACACAGTCGATAGGTAGACAAATATTATTAGCTGTGTCAGTCTCACAAAAGCTACCAGAAATTCGTACAAGATACATCCTTCATCACTTAGAGGCAGACAACTTAATATCACAGCCTTTTGAGCGGATACTCCCCTAAAAAATCTTGCGAGCTTGCACCTGTTATTTTTGCTTTGGGAGCCCCGCAAAAATGAGAATCAAATGGAGAATAATTCTTGGCAGTAGCTGAACTCTTTCAATGTGCCCTGCACACTGTAAATGTAACCTCCTTTGTTCAGCTCAAGATAAATAGGTTTTACATTCATGGATTAGACTACAAGTGCTTAACAAGGAGGAATTGTTCCGCGATCAAATACTTTGATGGCAGGTGATACAGTTTTGCTCAGGTAAAATGTTTTATTCAGATTGCTGACTTCTTGGAAAATATTCTAGATCTTCCATTGTGCTACCCTCTGTACTGCGAGAGTTATGACAACTCTACACATATTAACATTTTCTCACAGACGGACTGAACCAGACTCATATCAGTTGATATTAAAAACATCTCAATGAATTGTACATTTATCAATTTTAAAGATGATCTTAGCCAGGCTTATGTGTGTGAGTTTCCCAACAAATTGGAGACCAACTAAAGTTGACAAGTGCAATCAATGGTAAGAAGCATGTTTTATACTGTTATGCTCAAAAGCTGTAAATATAACACATGTGCCTCTGGTGAAGTCCTGATCCTGACCTCTTTTACCGGATATGATGTAAGCGGCCTTTTGTAAGTTGTCATGGTTTTGGCAACCAGATATATAGCCATACTGGTATGCATGACATGTTCGTGATCTTGAAGCTGATAATTGTTTATCTTTTGGCTGTACATGTTTTAGTTGTTTTTAAAACTGTGACAAGGCCCACCTGGCTGTAAACCAAGTAAGATATTTTAATTTCTCCCTTTATTTTTTGTTGATGTACAACTTTAACCCTTTGTATACCAGACTTTCGGATTTTTTTTTGTAGCTCAATTTGGGGGTGTAATGCAAAATGTCATACAAATTGATCAGTAGTGAATACCACCACCCAACTAGACTTGCCACAAGTCGACCTTTTCATAATC